GCCAAAAAATATGGAAACATTTCCACTTGTCAGCCTTCATTATGACCTTCAGAGTGACCCATCTATAAGATGGAAAACAAGTGCTTTCATCCAGTATCTGAGATCAAAGTTGTGGGTCTTTACTCTTCTAAGTCTAAGGGGTACAAGCTGCCCGCATCCTCTCTAAGAGAACGCACGGCGTGCGTGACAGGGAGAGGAGGAAGCATGGAGCATAACCATCTGTGCTGTTACTAAGCCCTGCTGTCCCACAGGACGTGGCCTCGGTCTGCAGTGGGTGAAGGAGGACGAAGGTGATGATGATGGGGAGGATGAAACCACAACAGACAGAGAAACCGAGTCGCCAGCCCGGCCACACACCCTCATTTCATCAATGAGCAATCAGATAGCATACTTCCATTTGAAAACATTATACATCTCAAATGTAATTAAGAAATTTAGACTGGCATGAATATGTAATGTACACATTGCTCTGCAGATGCCTTTCCCGTCCGACAGGCTGGTGCCGACTTTAATTTGGAAGAAATCCATTTTCATACAAAGGTAACCAAGAGTGACAGGAAATAGGAAGCCTAAATCATTTATCTTCTGTGAACTTAGAAAAAAAATCAGTTAATTGCTTTTCTAGGAAGCTATTTTGTGGAATCATGGTGCTTTATCTTTCTGCTCTTATTCATGGTATAAATGGTGATTTTAAAATGCCCGTCATGAATATGCTGATTAATCAATACACCTTAAACTATTTAATTACTTATTTTAACAAATGAAATTCTGATCAACCAAAAATGGTCTCTCTGTTCTTGTGGATGAACCACTGTGTATCAACCACTAGGAAAACTCCTCATATACATACGGTCTATTAATTTATATTCAAATTCAGGTGTCTCTTTCCTTATCACTGACTCAGCTAAGAGCAGCAGGCCCTGCTTTCCTTCCATCCTTCCCTGGCTTTTCAGATCTGTTCTATTCTCAGCCATCAGAGCCCTTCTGCAAGGGCGGCCTTAAATCATTGCTGCTCATTAAATTAATAACAGAAACTAAAATGTGTATGTTTTGGAGTGCCACTGAAGCTGAAACTTGCCAAACAAACTAACTTCATGGCCCGTGAGGCCCATATTCCCATATTTTATCTCAACAGCACTGCATATTAGGCCTGTTTTATAGGATTGTCCCATTTCTGCCTTCCTGTATCACCTAGCATATACATATGTATTTTTAAATTCTACCAAGTTTGAGGCCAATATAAAGCACTCTTTTCAAATCTAAAATTATCATTTTAATAACAATTTCTTATTATTCCATGAGCCAAAGATAGATACAGCATGAAGCTAATGATGCATAAGCTCCAGGGCCTCTTAAGCGAAGATTCCTCCAAGGCCCCAGGAGGGGCCCTAGCAATGAGTTAATACTTGTTTTTGCAAAAATTTCAAGTATAAGGTAATTTTCTACTCCTTTTTTACTGAAGAAAACCCCAAAGACGGTATACATTTTAGGTCCCACAAAACTTGTATCTGCCCCACTAGGTTAATAGTCCCCAGTGTCTGGATCTTGAATTACATGTTAAGGGCAAAACATTTATTTTGTGTGTGTATGCGAAACAAAAAATGATTTGCTTCGACTGGAAATAAGATTTAGTGTGCCCTACCCTAGAATGTTCTAGAATGCATCTGCAGTCATTTCTTATGTCCCTGTCTCTTCTCTCACCTAACACTAGTCACACTTCCAAGTGACGCTCCAGGGAAGGCTCACTTAATGAGGGATGGCATCAAGAATAAAAAAGTCAGCTATAACAACAAAAATATGTTTTTCATTAAACACAAAACTGAGCTGGGGAAAACCAGCCAAGAGACAGGTGTATCAGTTAAAGAAACCCCTTCAGGTCTTTAACTTCCACATCAAATTGCCCTGAATTTTTCCACACTAATTACCTATTATTGAAGACTAAAGAATTATAACAAATAATTCACCATGGCAGCAGATAGAGTGCAGATGTTGTAAGAAAAAGAATGAAGAACTTATGAAGTATAAAATCAGGCAAAAGAGATTCACAAATTCTCAATTTTTTAAAACAGCACAAGATTTTTCTACTATAAGGATTATGAAGGTGAGGAAATTTTCTAGAACTAGAAGGCCAATTTTAAATTTAGTTTGGACTGTACGCGAGAGAAATTGCAAATTAAAAGCTAAGTGCTGGAGTTTAATTTATTCAATTCATGTAAATTTCTTGCAGGCAGAGATCACAACTTAGATTTTTTTTTTTTAATTTCTCCTATTGCATTATACCTAGTCATTGATTTGATTTCTTATGAGGACTGTACCTACACAATCCTATTCAGCTATATTTGCCTCTCCATTGTCTTTACGTCATTTTTACCTAACACTTCCTTTTAGCCCCCAAATCCTTCACACAGGCCTAAGTCTCACTCTATAGCTAACGTCCTGGGAAACTACAGTCAAGTCATGAAAAAGTTCCCTTTCGGTCACAGCCTCTGTAAATTTCCCTAAAAAACGCATTCCCTAAATTATTGGAAATTAATGTCAGTACTATCAAGAGGACATTTTCATCTAGGTACTATCTGTGTAAAAAAAATAGGCATTAATATTTCTTAATTATTTGCCATGTTTGTTTTATTCTCTCCAAAAAATAAAAGCAAATGTTTCCTCAAAAAGCAAAATCTGATTAGCTGATAAAATTCTATGCTACGATTGTGCATTTTATAGGGATGCCCCATAAACACTGAGTGATATACTTGCAAAAGGTATTTTTGAATCTCTTGGAGTACTGTAAAACAAACAAGCAAACAAAAAAACTCTTTGAGTCTGAAGGATAGGAAATGTAACTTATAGATACTACCCTGCTGCTAATTGGGAAAGAGTCAATCTCTTATTATAATAGACTGGAGCGCAACACACAAGTGCTGCACAATTCAATTACCATATTTTCCATAATACACAGTTTTTTGCTAAAATAAGGACTATATTATCTCCCCTACAGAAAAAAACCCAAAAAAACAAATCCACCAATTAAAACTTTGTTCTGTGAACAACACTTCTTACCTCTTTTCTATCAATGCATGATTGGCCTCTTTAAAGTATTCAGTATAAAATGTTAGGAAGGGAGCAAGCGGACAGGCTCAATGTCATTACATGGGGGCAATGAAACACTTCCTGTATAAAAGCTCTAATTTTTCTTGGTATGACTTTCTATCTCAGGCATTTCCCTCTTTCTGTGATTACTGAACCGTAGTACAATGTGTCATTCCCAATCTGGGGTCTTGGAAGGGCGTCCTGAAAGTGTCCACATTATTAATGACATACCCAAAAGCCTAATGAAAACTGTACAGTTATCTGCATAAGGCTGTACTGGCTATCAAAAATGGGCTTTTAACCAGGGCTTTATCAGCTCATTGGGTTACAAAGTAAATAAATAAATTACTACCTAATAAATTTGAAGTTTCTCTGGCACATAAAAATCATTTTAACAAGGAATCAATTGGGATTAAAATTATAATGGATTCCTGGCAGTTATAGTCACCTCTGTTCAAGGATAAGCCATGTTTTATTTGCCAGGTCATTTGATGATGATAACACAAATCAAAGGGCTTGATAAATTCAGTTTTATAAGGTGATATTCATATGTGTTTCCTACAAACTTTCCAAAACATAAATGCTTGCAGAAGTTATATGCTGCTTCTATTAATTCCTAAGAATACTTTATGGAATCCATCATAAACGAATAATCAAAAGGAGTTACTGGTGTACATGTCACTTAATTTCCTCATTAGAACCTGTGTAAACATCTCGGAATTAAAAAAAATATATCTTCTCTAAGGGCACTGTGTTGATCTCCCAATTGGTGCACGGTGCTTTCTGAGGTGAGAGCTCAGCTCAGAAATGATTAAGTTCAGCCTTGTCAGACTCCCAACAAGAAACATCAAATCATTTTGTGTTTTATTTGGTCATTAAATCAAATTAAGATACAAAGAATATGCTAGCCACAGTGTTATTCCATCTTTAAAACCGAATATGTCAAAAAGGAAGACGAAACTGAATAGTTCCTAAGTCCAATGCTCTAGAATTCACATTTTATGTTAGTTAGTATATCACATCACAGCAAAACAAAAAAATGTGCATGCATACTTTTTCGTGTGTTCTTGACAAGTGTCATCAATTTGGAATATAGGATGAAATGTGTTTCTCTAAAACAAGACTTCATTTTCTATCCAGATTTACTGTTCAAGTAGACTAGACTCTTTGCTACCTCTGTGATTATGTGATTTGCCTTTTTGAGTTCTCATATTCCACACACCTAGTCTACACATTTTGTAATGCAATAAATAAATACTTCAGATTAAATTCAAGACGCAAACCAGAAGAATCTGAACTAAAAGATTTCACTCTCTTCATATAACCTAAGATCATTTTCACAGGACAAGGAGAGTCCTTACTTGATTAACATCAATTAACCTGGATTTTAAGTATTATAATATGGATGGGACATCTGATACATTTGAATATTCACCATATTCAATATTGAGTCATTTAATAATTACTTTAAAAATCATTATGAAGTTTCCTTTACGTTTTGGAACATTTCAAAACTGGCAAAAATGTTGAACTTCTGAACTCTTTTACATAAAAATTAACCTCTTTATATATGGCCCTTACAATACTTTTATTTCTAATATATACTATCCATGTCGACACTGACTCATTCATAAAAAAAAATCCCTTGAACTATATTGAAGGAAACATTCCTTCCCGAATGAACATGGACACATAACTGCATATGTTGGAACTTAAAAAAAATGATAATAATCAATTTGAGATTTTAAGAAATTATTATTTATGTGTACATCCTCCTTTAGCGATTGCTACAAATCCTACCACACAAAGTTGTTCACACGCTGAAAATAAAGAAACATGGGCACTGAATTTATAACTGTCAAGTCATCACTGAGATCAACTCAGATGCATGTAGGTGGCATTGAGAAAAGACTCACCTCTTGTTTGGGGATGCTGAACTTGGAAAGCTTGGCCTTGGCTCTGGCGGACTCTGGCTTGGTGGCCGGGACTCCCCTGTATGACGTGCAGTGCACACTGGTTTCTGTGGATGACTTAAGCTTTGGAGACTCATCAGGAGCCTGATCTTGGCCGTCCATCGGCCGCACGTATGCAGTTGGTTTCTGCTGGACCAGGCTGGGTTTTGAAGCCAGGGATGGAGGAAAGTTCTGAACACAGTGTCCGCTGCCGCTGTGCTTGGCTGCCATAGCAGGTGGCCTTTCCTGGGTCTGAAGACCCACCTCTACATTGCACACTTGTTTGGCTCGTGGCTGCTGTCTGCCAACACCATCTCCAAGCAAGGTCCTGAGAGAGCCTTGGTGTGCTGAGTTGGAAGAAGAAGAAGAAGAAGAAGAAGAAGAGGAAGAAGAAGAGGAAGATGAGGATGAGGGGCTCGACACAGACTGGTTAGGTTTTTTATTATGGTTCTTTGGGTTAGCAGATCTGTTCAAATCAAGCAACCTGTGTCCGTGCTTACTTGCTCTCTGTTGGCCATCCGATGGCGGGTGCCCAGCCTTCTGCCAGCCCATGGTGCCCCTCTTACTCTGCTGTGCGGGGACAGCGGCTGGTGTGGAAGAAGCAGTGCTACAGACAGACGAGGGCTGGGTCTGGGCTCTTGAATCTGCAACAAAATGTTCATCGATCTTGTTCACAGGAGCCTGAGGAACCCCAGGTTTGGGAACGCCAACGAGATGACTCTGATTAGACCTATCAGTTAAAAAGTCTTTCATTTCATCGTAATTGCCTAAAGTATTCTGGATCCGGTTGGAGAGCTCATCCCCCTTGTTCGTCTGGAGAAAAGAAAAACACAACAAGCACCCTGTCATTAGAGAGAAGAGAAACACAGGAGACAACGGAGAGGTGCGTGCTGGCTCACAGAGTCAGGGTTGTCACATTCAGAATGAGAGCTGGGAGATGAAATCAGAATCGTCATCTCTGAAGTCCATCCACCCTGCATCACGCCAGGACCAGGAAGCCGTTAAGAGCCTCAGACTACATCAAAAGGGAATCTATCCTTGGTGGGGTGATGCAGCTACGGAAATCAGAAAATATACCACCGTAGCTTCGCAAAACCGTCGGGATTAAGGCTTTCCAGGATTGGGGTTTCTTTTCTTTTATATAGTCCCTCTGGAAGCTTTTCTTAAAAATTTAAATTTGGCTCAAATTGTTCTGCTGCCAATTTCTAAATATATAGTGATTCTTGTCAGAAACCCAGAGTGACAGGCAGAAGAAGTCAGCATACAGCTTAAAATGAACACGGGGCTCAATGTGCAAGGAGACACCAGCCTAAACTACCCATGGTTCCGTGCAGGCCTCAGATATTAGTGAAATCTCAGAAGGTCTTTCATTTTGGAAGACAGCTTGTATCTCTGGCCGTTGGTGTAAATGAGAAACAATCCAGCAGTTTTTTTCTCATTACCCTATCAGGTAGCCTGACCGCAGTATGACCCACGTGTGGCAAATAGGTTACCCAACCTCTTTTTATTTCCGAATAGCTTAGGAAAAAAAAAAAAAACATTACAAGTGGCATTGACTTTGAAAATCAATGCAGAAATGAAGTCTACACTATGGAAAAAAATCACAGCAAGCAGCTCTCATTATGAAGCAAAAGTTATATTTTACTGAGGGAACAGGCAGTCAAGTCGTGTGAACTGGACACCAAGATTTGTGGGAGAAGACCTCATTCTGAGTGGCTGAGCTGTCTTCCTGGGCTGAACAGGCAGAAAAGCAGCTGAAGTTTGGCTGGTTAACTCTTCCAGGAGAGACTGTCATCACAGGGGGAGAGGTACAAGTCAGGGAGAAGACGAACAACTGAAAACCATCTACCTTGTAGGGTTCACTGAAGAGGGAGTAACTCGAATTAAATGTGCCATCATCCTGCTGAGTTTCCTGATTTCTTCTTTCTCGCTCTTTCCTCCGTAACACATTTCTATCTGGTTCATAGACACTGCGTCAGAAGAAAGAGAAGAGAACAACCACATAGGAAAAAGTTAAAGGCTAAAGCCCAGTGGAACATTCACCTGAGTGCAGAAGTCTGGTTCATGGACGAATGGCCGTGATAAGGAGAAGAAGGATCAGATTAGAGCCAGTCTAATCAAGCAGTAGGAGCTTGGGTGTCTGATAATTACATTCTTCAGGAGGAAAAAAAAAATCCTTAGGGCAAGTTCCAACCAGTACTAGACCTCTCTGCCTGATATGTAAGACAGGAAATATCTAAGCAACTTTGACAGGAGAAGACTGAAAGTAATCTTAAGGCAGACGGTAATTATAGCGATGTGTAAATAGAAATTATGAGCCTATTTCCCCTTATGACATAGCCTCTGAGTGTTATATGGGAATGCTCCTGTTCTTGTCTTTCTTTCTTTTTTTTTTTTCTTTTGCATGGCTGTTTCTGTACTGATTCTTTCATTAACTAGCTCCCTAAAGAGCTGTTAAAACTCCATGCTGCAGTGGTTTTCACAGTTATGAGCCTTCTTCTGATCTCTGTTAATCAGTCAAGTCGTCAAACTACTACTGAATCAATTCTTCCTTCTGATATATTTGACACTATCACTCCTCCTAACTATGAAAAATGTGCCAGGAGGAAGGGGTGCAGGAAACGCAGGGAGAGAGTGGAAATTGAATTACGGTGTGTCATCAAGGATCTCAGCCTTTTTGTTAAAGAAAATTAATATCTATTCTCCCAAAATACAATTATGAAGTGACCAGACACCAGATAACTGGGAGGACTAAGGGAGAAATAATGCTCCTTCCCCCTCATAAGGAGAAAATAAAGGGGCTAATTCAACTACTAATAAGGAAGTGACCCATTAACTGAAGGAAGGAAATACACTTGTTTTTTCAAGCTCAGTATATAAAGAAGTCTGGCCTCGGTGGAGAACTGGCAGGTCCCTCAGAATGAGCATTGTCTTCATTTCCTAGCAGAAGCATTTGGTTTAAGTGACCTTGTTTTGCTTCGAGCTCCCACCGAGGCTAATACACAGGTGCCTGAGGGGGGAGCCAGGACAGCTGCCTACTGACTCTGGTTCTCCCATAACCAGCGACATGATGATGGAGAAGCCACACAATCTCTCTGCACCCAGTGTCTTCATTATAAAACAGGGATGTTTCATGGCGTTGTAAGGTTTGAACATGAAGGTAATCTACAAAATGGCTTTGGAATAGCTTTAGGTGCCCAAACTCCAATGTACCGCTTTTAAATGTTAATAATGAAAGGAGCTGTGGGTTCACAGAAATGTATGAAAAGAGCGAGATTCTGTTTTGTCCTGTTTTGTTTTAGCTAAATTGCTATCCTGAGTATAAGAGAGAACATCGTGCCATGTAGCTGTAGAGGGCACAAATAAAATGATCATAAAATAAATACTGCTTATCCTTCGAGCTCTGCCCGGGGGGACAGAATATACTTTAAATTTGCTAAGGGGCAATGCTAAGTACGCTTCCAGCAAGGCTGTGAGAACACCTAAGGCACTTCATTTACATTTAAGATTAGGGAATGTTAAAATACCCAGAACATGTCACCTATTAGCATTTTAATTCATCTTTAGTACATTACCCAAAGTTATTAGATTGGGGAATCCAACCAATGACCTTCACATAAACGGAGGCTACAGCCACAGCCCTACCAGCTGAGAGGCTCACAGCTCCGACTTCGCCATCACTAAGAACTCTCTGGGCACTACGGTGATAGTGACTGGCAGAAGGGAGGCATAAGATGAAAATGACACTCTTATTCACAGAACCAGGCTTCCAGTTCAAAGAAGAGGCTATGATTGTCCTGCCCTGCTTGTGGACATTTGCAATATGAAACCCCAGCTCTCATGAACATTCCATGGATTTCAAATGGGGACTGCTCTGACAACACACGACTCATGCTGTGGATGGGCATGAAGTGAGCTTTAACAAAGAAGTAAATTCGAGTTTTACTATGAACCTGCTCACTTTGGGACCAATACCAGCATCCACAGTAAGAAAAATAAGCTTGCATTGCATGCACTGCACTTCTTCCCCTCTCCGGCACGTACGGACATCTGGGAAGCACCTACTGTGCAGAACTCCATGCACAGAGACTTCCACAAACATGCTCGCTGCCCTCAGGCAGATCAAACCAACACACACACAAGACTGGTGTGATGCATGAAGTGGCCTTATGTGACATGGAGCAGGCAGGTGGTCATTTAGGATGATTTCAGGGCTTCTGAGAGGCCCCCATGCCCAAAATAATACCTCCTGCATCGGCTGGCTGATGATTGAAATTCCACAACTAGAGAGTCATTCCTCTGGTTTAAGATGTCTTCACCCCTGTAAGAAACGTAGACACCACAAGAAGGGGAAACACTTTAACCTGATCAGCCCTTGGTATCTGAACGTGCATGAGCTTGTCAGCATTTCTGCCAAAGGCCAAGGGGAAAGGGCACAGGACATCAGGGTCCAAACAGGAGGTGTAACACAAAAGGGAGGGACAATACAGAGTATAGCGATGAAAACAAATTTATAAACTCTACCTGCTTTGCCCCATGGGTTAGATGTTTAGCATTAGGCTAAAAGCCATAATCAATTAGGCAGCTATCAGACTTGCTACATTTTCAGGGTCAGGGAGTAAGAATCACTTCAAAATATGGGGAAGCTGGAGGGGAGAGGCAAGCTGCTCCTCTTTAACTAAACCTGCCTCATTCCCCAATCCATTTAAAGATAACCATAAGCACTCCAAGACACACACCCCTGCTGCTAAAGTTCTCTAACAAGGCTCTGCCTGCACACCCAGCCTATGCCTTCTCATACTAAGAAGGACTGAACGCCCTCAGGACCACCCACACATCATCTGCTAATAGAAATGCGCTGGCCATCTTTTACGGGACGGCCACGATGCTTGTGCTGCAGTGCCCTCCATGCCACCAGATGAAACCAGAAAGACCAAAAATGACAATCATCCCCACCTTCTCCAGAAGAGAGCAAAGGAAACCCAAAGAGAGAGCCAATACTTCTTCAATGCCTTCCCTTTGGTTTCTCTTCTCCTTCCTTGGAAGGCAGCTCTGTTGCCTTCACTGAGCATTCAATTCTCCCTAATGGTGACCCACCTGACTCCTTCTCCTTCACTAGAACCACAACCCCTACCTGTCATGTCAGGCCTTGGAAACTAAAATGTTATCGGCTTAAAGCAAATGTCATTGTAGAGAAAGTCTGGACTTGCCACCCGCCATCTTTCTCTAAGCGTCTGAACTCTTATCTTTTCTACCAACACTAAATGTTTTAACTCATAAAGACAATATCTTCCCGACAGTGAGTCCACCATTCCACTAATTACCAGTGAAATCTGTGCAGGTACTTACAATTCCGGAGAGTGCCTTTCTCTTGATCTCTCACCATTAAACTCAGTCCTCTTCCCTCCTCTGCCATTCAAGCAATGTAAAGACCATGCCATTTGCTTTAGAAGCAAAGGAACCTTTCCCCTGACATGCTGGAAGTCATGTCAGCTTCCCTGGGGATGGTTGACTAAAGTTGTAGAGAATTCTGATTCCTGGCATGCCAATATATACATTAGACTCAGTAAGAGCCTCATGTTATGAGCTGTGTTATTTTTTTGTTGTTGTTACTAACAGATGGTAAAATCTCTATCATCTGTAAAGTTATTCCTTATTTCCATGAAAATTATAAGAATCACACTCCTCAAATGTATGTCACCAAATGTATTTATTTATTTTGTATGAAAGTGGAGGCAGCCAACTGCTACAGTATTATTTATTATTTATTGCAGATGCATAACATTCCCAGGAAATGAACCTTTTTAATCAACTCCCTTTAAAAGACTTATTTATTTTTAGAATAAAAAAAAAAAAAAACAGCCAATGAAAAATGTAGTAAAAACATTTCTGATCATTTCCCTTTATTTGTTTTTAATCTATAAAATGAGGTAACTGTAGGGTTTAGGCCAAAGCCAATTATGCTGATTAGGTAGAATAGAATTCCAAACATGAAATTATCACCATTTCCAAAATCAATGTATTCTTGATCATATGGTAACAGTATGAAACCAAATAATAGTAATACCTTTGAGTCTGATGGCTTCTCCCTTCTACTGAGCTCAAAATACTTCACACATAGGTCCCTAAATTATCCTTACAATGTCCCTTGGAGAAAGACAAGGATGGTGGATATCACTACGGGGCTAACTTTTTTAAAGATCAAGGAACTTAGGATAAGAGTTCGATCATCAAAACAGTGTCATAAAGAAGCCATCATGTAGAAGGGACAGCAATGTCAATCCATGGAAGGGGAGCGACCCAGGAGCGAAAGGTGGGCACACTTCCTAAATCCTGATGTCTACAAGCCTGCACTATCAATAAACAGTGAATGTGAGCCTCATAAAAGCAAGACAGGACAAATGAGACATAGGGAAGCTACTTTGCATTCAGAGAGAACTAAAAGGAAAAGTCTGGAATAAAGGCTGGGTTGTTAAAATTGTTTACAGTCCCCAAAAAAACAAAAGACAAAAATCAATTTCTTTCCACAGTCCACAAGATAAAAGGATATACTTGTAATACAGAAGAGTGGCCTAGAGCACAGATGAGTGAATTTAAAAATTATAGACTCTTAAGTAATAAGCCAGCCAGGGCTGCTGGTATCAGCATTTTCATCAAATCCTACCCATCCCTCAGCCTGCTCTTTTCTGCCCATGCAGCCCTACTGGGGGACAGGTGCTGGAGCTGGTGGGGCCACCTGCTCAGCGGAGCCTGGGTTGGACCCGGAAGGCCCGGCTGGCCAGGAGGGGCTGCTTTCTGCCCTCCAGCCCATCCACATGCAGCCTGTTTACATTTGAACATTCGCTGCAAACAAACCGCATTTCCCATGGAGGAAGCTTTCAGCCAAAGGTATATATAGCTAATTGCACCCCTTGACTAGAATCGTCAAAGTGTTTTCTTCTTTAAAACACACACACACACACATACACACACACACTCTCTCTCTCTCTCTCTCTGTCCTACCTACCGGCATATCTCCAGAGTTGAGGTCTGGAAAACAAGTAAATTCAAGGAAAAGAGAGAGAACCACCTCTCACCGATCTTTTGAAGACAGTTACCATGTTCTCCATGGTTAAAAACTACTCTCCTCTTCATATAGCAGAAATACAATTCACTTCCGTGCAAAAGCATTTCCTGAAAGCCATGGTGTGAGATACAGGGGAGACAATGAGAGCTGAGACTGGCCTTTCCTGCTGCTGAGCAGCTATGGTTCAGGAGACAGGAGAAGAGGGAAGGGGCCCATTCTAAAAGAGCATGTTGACAGCAAGTGGTTGGGGCATTGCAGAAGGGAGTGCAGGGAATCCAGAGCGCTTCCTGCAGAAGACTGCCTTTGAGCTGGGTCTTGAGGAAAGGGCAGGTGGAGGACAGCGAAGGGAAGAAGAGCTTAAAAGTCCAAGATACACAAATTACTATTAAGTGGCCTTCGACAGTATTTGGAGGAGGTGACCTTTGCCCTCCCCACACCAGCCCAGTTCTTTAACCCGCTGGAATTCCACATTTCAAGTTTCATTTGCTTGGTTTGCTCCACCGCTACCCTGTCATTGCTTCCTTACCCTAAATAAGGTTATCTGACCCCTTCCTGGAGCAGGTTGGGTTTGGAGTAAATAAATGAAGGGTGGACGCAGGGAAGAATAAAAGACACCCTGTCCCTTCCTTTACAGTTTGCATCAGGACGGGCCTTGAACACCTTGACCACAGAGAAGACAATCTTCTGACACTCAGAGTCCTTGGACAAAATGCTAACCTGCCCCTGGAGTATGCACTGGCAGCCACAGGGGCAAACAGGAAGGAGAAAAGGCACTAAGTAGAGAGAAGAATGTTTCATAGAAACTCTCCTGTTCTTTGGAGCAGAAACACCAACAACTGTGTATAATTAAAGAAACTTAATCAAACACTGCAAAATTATAACAATTGCTTTAAACTTAATGAGTCAAACTAATTATCATCTCTTGTTATTTATAAAGCAAATGATAAAAGATCAGTAATCCCTTCTTCAGTCAGAGAAAAGCAAGACTGTTGAAGTATACTTGTGAATTCCTTTCTTAATCTCCAGACAGAGCTAGGAGACTGAAAGACAGGAAGGTGGTCAGAGTGAGCAGGTGAGAGAAGCAAGTCAGACAGAGACAAGGTGGGTTGGTAAAGAGGCAAGGATCCCCCAACTGGAGTCCTTCAAGGCCCTGAACGCTTGTAGCCATGGTGCTGGTGCTGGTGCTGGGGGTGAGGGGTGAAGGGTAGGAAGGATGATGTTGGTAGGGGTGGTGAAGAGGAAGGAGGTATGGGGTGGGGGGTGATGGAGGTGATGGTGGTGATGATGGGGGTGGGGGGGGATGAAGGGGGTGGTGGGTGTGGAAGCAGTAAGAGGGCTTGGGGGAAGGGGGAGGGGATGGGATGTTGGGGGGTTGATAATGATGGTCATGGGGATGGTGGTCATGGGAGCGATGGTAGTGGGAAGAGTGGTAGCAGTGGGGTGGTGGGAAGGGATGGGGTGGTGGGGTGGTGGTAATGGTGAGAACAATGGTGAGGTTGGTAGTTAAAGATCTGCTGAGGAGTGAGGACTGGTCAATGGTGCATATAACAAACCCTTAAATCCTGAAGAACATCACTCGGCCCTGCTCACTTATACTAGACATTCCCACACCTCTTTACTCCATTTTCCCCCAGCAGCATCACACCACTGGCTTTGCCAACAGCTTTGTAAGTATGACCCCCAATATTATTTCTACCATAGGTACCTTGGAAAAGTCAGTCCAATCTTACTTGTTTGTCTCTGATCACAAAGGTGATGTCAATCTTAATGCAGTCTTAAAAACTCTCTTTGAGAGCATTTACAGATCTCTGCCTCAGGGCTGCCAATATGTTCTATAAGAATGGGAAAAGAATTGAGGGTGGTTCGTGCCAGAATCACTTGTCCTGTACCACAGCTTTGGTGAAACTAGGTAACAGGAGTCACAAAATAATGAACGCCCACAGACAAATTTAGCCCACAAATATTCCACAGAAAAATAGGCTTTTGGGATCATCTATAACATCTTCCCAAACCCATCAGGCCCATATTAAATTTTGCTAATAACAACACTTTACTACTACATGCAGCCACTGCATGAAGTACTTTACATGCATTATTTCACTGAGTTGTTTTCAAAACCCCAAGAGACATTATCCCCATCTACCAGTGAAGACACAGGAGGCTCTGAAGTTAACTAACTTGTACAAGTCTCATAGCCGGTGAGCGACAATGCTGGGGTCTGAAGCCAGGCAGTCTGGCACCAGAAACCGAATTCT